GCCATGGCTACATATATGGTTATCTCAATGGCTACGTACATGGTTATCTCCATGGCTGCAAACATGATTATCTTCATGGCTACATACATGGTTATCTCCATGGCTACATTCATGGTTATCTCCATGGATACATACATGGTTATCTCCATGGCTTCATATATGGTTATCTCAATGGGTACATAAATGGTTATATCCATGGCTACATACATGGTTATGTCCATGGTTATATCCATGGTTACATCAAAGGCTACATACATGGTTATCTCCATGGCTACATATATGGTTATCTCAATGGGTACTTTTATTGTTATCTCCATGGCTACACCAAGGGTCATCTCCATGGTTACATACATGGTTATCTCCATGGCTACATACATGGTTATATCCATGGTTACATACATGGTTTTCTCCATGGTTATATCCATGGTTACATCCATGGCTATATACATGGTTATCTCCATGGCTTCACCAATGTTTATCTCCATTGCTACATTTATGGTTATCCCCATGGCTACATACATGGTTATATCCATGGCTACTTACATGCTTATCTTCATGGCTATATACATGGATATCTCCATGTCTACATCCATGGTTATCTCCATGGCTACATACATGATTATCTCCATGGCTACATATATGGTTATCTCAATGGCTTCTTTTATTGTTATCTCCATGGCTACACCAATGGTCATCTCCATGGTTACATACATGGCTATCTCCATGGATACATACATGGTTAAATCTATGGTTACATCCATGGCTATATACATGGTTATCTCCATGGCTACATACATGCTTATCTCCATGGCTACATATATGGTTATCTCAATGGCTACTTTTATGGTTATCTCCCTGGCAACACCAATGGTCATCTCCATGGTTACATACATGGCTATCTCCATGGTTACATACATGGCTATCTCCATGGTTACATACATGGCTATCTCCATGGATACATACATGGTTATATCCATGGTTACATCCATGGCTATATACATGGATATCTCCATGGCTAAATTTATGGTTATCTCCATGGCTACATACATGGATATCTCCATGGCTACATACATGGTTATCTCCATGGCTACATTTATGGTTATCCCCATGGCTACATACATAGTTATATCCATGGCTACATTTATGGTTATCTCCATGGCTACATACATGGTTATCTCCATGGCTACATACATGGTTATCTCCATGGCTACATACATGGTTATCTCCATGGCTACATACATGGTTATCTCCATGGCTACATTTATGGTTATCTCCATGGCTACATACATGGTCATCTCCATGGCTACATACATGGTTATCTCCATGGCTACATACATGGTTATTTCTATGGCTACATACATGGTTATTTCCATGGCTATATACATGGTTATCTCAATGGCTACATACATGGTTATCTCAATGGCTACATACATGGTTATCTCCATGGCTACACCAACGGTCATCTCCATGGCTACACCAATGGTTATCTCCATAGCTACATACATGGTTATCTCCATTGCTATATACATGGTTATCTCCATGGCTACATACCTGGCTATCTCCATGGCTACATTTATGGTCATCTCCATGGCTACACCAATGGTCATCTCCATGGCTACACCAATGGTTATCCCCATGGCTACATACATGGTTATCTCAATGGCTATATACATGGCTATCTCCATGGCTACATTTATGGCTATCTCCATGGCTACATTTATGGCTATCTCCATGGCTATATACATGGTTATCTCCATGGCTACATTTATGGCTATCTCCATGGCTACATCCATGGTTATCCCCATGGGTACATCCATGGTTATCCCCATGGCTACATACATGGTTATCTCAATGGCTATATACATGGCTATATCCATGGCTACATTTATGGTTATCTCCATGGCTACATACAGGGTTATCTCCATGGCTACATACATGGCTATCTCAATGGCTACATACATGGCTATCTCCATGGCTACATACATGGTTATCTCCATTGCTATATACATGGTTATATCTATGGCTACATACATGGCTATCTCCATGGCTACATTTATGGTTATCTCCATGGCTACATACAGGGTTATCTCCATGGCTACATATATGGTTGTCTATGTGGCTACATATATGGTTATATATATGACCTCATACATAGTTATACATGTGACTATTTCCATGGTTATATCCACTGTATCCTAGGGTTACAAACTTAATTATACAAAAATAGGATTCGTATCCAGTTCTTCAACGAAATTTGCTTTGTTACGTCATAATGCATGTAACACTGGTCAAAAACACCAATTGGTTATAAATCTTCACGATTTACGAGTGAAAGTATCCCCAAAGAATGAAAATGTAAAAAAAGAGTAGCATATGTTATTGTCATTTCGCTGAATAGAATGTTGGTATGACAAAAATACCTTCCATGTCTTATTTATTATATATTTTAACAACTTGTTCAATGTTTTGTAATTTTTAATTTATTAACAGAGACCAAATCATCTTGCATAATAAGTGTTTCACATAATTCCGAGTACAAAATACGTCGTTGGAGATGTAGGAAGTTGAAATATAGCTTTAATACTGATGATTTTATTTAGGTTTTCACTTTTGAGTTAAGTGATGTCTATAAGTCATTTTGCCTTTCAGCAGGTTCTACATTCATTTGACGTTCGTGTATTACTTTGAAATTGTATTCAAATCAGAACTGGATATTTTCAATGAAGTGATTCTTGAACAGGTAGCTACTATTCCTGATCTAAATGAAGGACTCACACAACTTAATCAGCCAATCAGCAAGTGTTTCATAAAATTGCAATCCCTACCTAATGTTTTCCCCGGTTAAATACAGTGCCTCTGAGTAATTTAAATAGGTAATTCAATGTATTTATTTTTGACATATTTTACATTGAATGAAATTTGTCAAAAGCAGACGCCTGTAGCGCTCTTACATGCCTCTAAACCGCCTCAAAAAGTCTTTTGAAGCCTTTGTCAGGTATGTATCTGTGAATCTAGACAGTTGTCATTAGTTTTGAACTTAAAATATTAACCCTATTAGCTGAGTCCTGAAATGCATACCCAAAGCTCCGAAAACTGGGTAGTATTTACACAGATACACATATTTTATTCTGACCATAGGAATGTTTACATTTCCCCTGCTGTCAAGTGTTGGTTTATATTATTTAGGGACGCCCCCTATTAGAAAAACAAAGGAACTAAATGCTGTGTGAAGTACTCACCTGCTGCGAGGTTACCTATGGCTGCAATTATGTAAAACACGTCCTTCCTCAACTGTTCAAGAAGCACATACAGCACGGTCAACACTATAGCAGCAATGCCGGCCAGGAATCCCAGTATAGCAAACGCTTGGGCAGCCTCGAACCAACCTAAGGAAACAAACATAGTTGTGATCATACTTTATACCGTTTCAAAGTAAATACCAAACGTTTGTTACATCCTGTCAAAAGTCACAATATGTTTAAGAGAAGGTAGAATCTAATTGACGTTCGGAGAGTTTTGATGACATCAGCAACATATGTATTACAGGCAAAGGTATTTCAAATAATTTGAACGTCTATAATGAATATTTGAATATAAAAAAACGTGGGCATCGGAAAAATAATGGAGAAAAATACTTGTATTTAAGACAATGTTCAGAAATGTACATTGTGGTGTTAAAATCTGGTCAACTCCTCCGAATGCCCAAACCAGTTTTACTGGATTTCGTGCCCCAGTACAAGATTTCCCCGCTAGGCTGCACTCTTTGGTTATTACATAGGCCAAGACCGCCATCTTGGCTTGGACCCTGACCAAACGATCGTTGATTGATTAATTGAATCAACGAACCATTGGTTCGGTTTGAGCTTCGGAAATCCCTCTTGTTTACAGTGGAAACGTGTAGCAATCGATGCATTGACATTTATTTAAAAGCATCCGGAGTGGTAAGCATATTTAAATAACTTCGAAATGTTTTATATCAAAGTTCGTTGCTTCTTACATTACTGTTTTACATAACGTATCCCTGTTCTTACCGTTGATGTGAGTCTAAAAGTATCGGGCATACCGAGTGGCTGTTTGAAACGAGCATCCTTAATTGAAACGATCAATACACAACCAGCAGTATGTGGAATTATCAGCCATGATCACAAAACAAATGTTGTTTGGAAGTGCCCAATTAACGGTTAACTAGACAAGAAGGTAAGAATAATAATAATAAAAAAAAAAGACTTTTGCCACCAGACAATATTTTGGAAAGGGATATCCCCGTTTGAGATATAAATGTTAGCCAATCAAATCGGTAGGATTGGTAGACCTGACCTGTCGTTGTATTGTCGACGCGCAACCTTTCGGAGAGCCAGTCTACTAACATGTATGTAGATTTTTACAGGGTGCGTTCGGAACACCTGCAACGTCTCCAATTAATGTATTAAGCCTTTGAGATCTGTTTATAAATTGTAATGACACAGCAGAATATAATTAATTAATTGTGAATAAATTGTGGTGAATTATATGATTAGAATTTTAAAATCTTCGCAAATACGCATACGTAGAACTTGTGCTTCCGCCTTCGTCATTTCATCCATCTCCTTTTCTCCTCCGCGTGCTGTATTTCACCATAACAAACTCATAACACGCCACATATTTTATTAATTCTGCATCGTTATTTTTTTTATACTGAGAGTTGCAAGGACATAAATTGCTTATCATGTGAGTTTTCTCTATTGAAATTATATTTCTTCCCGTTATTATCAACTCCTGTGTAATTCCGCCTAGGGTAAACTATAGTGATCCGTCTTAACACATACACACATGTACGGGAGAAAAGTTACCTTCCACAAACATACACACATGTACAGGAGAAAAGTTACCTTCAACACAAATATACACCTGTACGGGAGAAAAGATACCTTCCACAAACATACACACATGTACAGGAGAAAAGTTACCTTCAACACAAACATACACCTGTACGGGAGAAAAGATACCTTCTACACACATACACACATGTACGGGAGACATACACACATATACAGCAGAAAAGTTACCTTCAACACAAATATACACCTGTACGGGAGAAAAGTTATCCTCTACACACATACACACATATACGAGAGAAAAGTTATCTACTACACACATAAACACATGTACGGGATTAAAGTAACCTTCAACACATATATACACCTGTACGGGAAAAAAAGTTACCTTCTAAACACATATACACCTGTATGGAAGAAAATATACCTTCTACACAAATACACACATGTACGAGAGAAAGGTTATCTTCTACACACATATAAACCTGTATCGGAGAAAAGATACCTTCTACACACATTTACACCTGTACGGTAAAAAAAGTTACCTTCTACACACATACACACTTGTACTGGAGAAAAAGTTACCTTCTACACACATTCACACTTGCACGGGAGAAAAGTTACCTTCTACATACATACACACATGTACTGGAGAAAAAGTTACCTTCAACACACATTCACACTTGCACGGGAGAAAAGTTACCTTCTACACACATACACACTTACACGGGAGAAACGTTACCTTCTACACACATATACACCTGTAAGGGAGAAAAGTTATCTTCTACACACATATACACCTGTACGGGAGAAAAGTTATCTTCTACACACATATACACCTGTACAGGAGAAAAGATACATTCTACACACATGCACACATGTACGGGAGAAATACACAAATGTACGGGAGAAAAGTTACCTTCCACAAACATACACCTGTACGGGAGAAAAGTTCCCTTCTACACACATACACACATGTACAGGAGAAAAGTTACCTTCAACACAAATATACATCTGTACGGGAGAAAAGATCCCTTCTACACACATACACACATGTACAGGAGAAAAGTTACCTTCGACACACATATACACCTGTACGGGAGAAAAGTTATCCTCTACACACATACACCCCTGTACGGGAAAAAAAGCTACCTTCTACACAAATATACACCTGTACGGGAGAAAAGTTATCCTCTACACACATACACACCTGTACGGGAAAAAAAGCTACCTTCTACACACATATACACCTGTACGGGAGAACCGTTACCTTCAACACACACATACACCTGTACGAGAGAAAAGGTTATCTTCTACACACATACACACCTATACGAGAGCAAAGTTACCTTCTACACACATATACACCTGTACGGGAGAAATGTTACCTTCTACACACATACACACATATACGAGAGAAAAGTTATCTTCTATACACATACACACATGTACGGGATAAAAGTAACCTTCAACACATATATACACCTGTACGGGGAAAAAAACCTTCTAAACACGTATACACCTGTACGGAAGAAAATATACCTTCCACACAAATACACACATGTACGAGAGAAAGGTGATCTTCTACACACATATTAACCTGTATGGGAGAAAAGATACCTTCTACATGTACACACATTTACCCCTGTACGAGAGAAAAAGTTACCTTCTACACACATAAACACATGTACAGGAGAAAAGTTACCTTAAACAAAAATAAACACCTGTACGGGAGAAAAGTTATCCTCTACACACATACACACCTGTACGAGAGAAAAGTTACCTTCTAAACACATATACACATGTACATGAGAAAAGTTACCTTCTAAACACATATTAACCTGTATGGGAGAAAAGATACCTTCTACACACATTTACCCCTGTACGGAAGAAAATATACCTGCTACACAAATACACACATGTACGAGAGAAAAAGCTACCTTCTACACACATATACACCTGTACGGGAGAAACGTTACCTTCAACACACACATACACCTGTACGAGAGAAAAAGTTATCTTCTACACACATACACACCTATACAAGAGCAAAGTTACTTTCTACACACATATACACATATACGAGAGAAAAGTTATCTTCTACACACATACACACATGTACGGCATAAAAGTAACCTTCAACACATATATACACCTGTACGGGAAAAAAGTTACCTCCTAAACACATATTCACCTGTATGGAAGAAAAAGTTACCTTCTACACACATTCACACTTGCACGGGAGAAACGTTACCTTCTACACACATACACACATGTACGGGAGAAAAGTTACCTTCAACACTCATATACACCTCCTCCTAAACACATATTCACCTGTATGTAAGAAAAAGTTACCTTCTACACACATTAACACTTGCACGGGAGAAAAGTTACCTTCTAAACACATATACCCCTGTACGGGAGAAAAGTTACCTGCTACACCCATATACACCTGTACGGGAGAGTTACCTTCTACACACATACACACATGTACGGGAGAAAAGTTACCTTCAACACACATATACACCTGTACGGGAGAAACGTTACCTTCAACACACACATACACCTGTACGGGAGAAAAGTTACCTTTTACACACATACACACTTGTACGGGAAAAAAATTACCTTCTACACACACATACACCTGTACGGGAGAAAAGTTACCTTCAACACACATATACACCTGTACGGGAGAAACGTTACCTTCAACACACATATACACCTGTACGGGAGAAAAGTTACCTGCTATACACATATACACCTGTACGAGAGAAAAGTTACCTTTTACACACATATACACCTATACGGGAGAAAAGTTACCTTCTGCACACATATACACCTGTACGAGAGAAAAGTTACCTTCTACACACATATACACCTGTACGGAAGAAAAGTTATCTTCTACACACATATTCACCTGTACGGGAGAAAAGTTACCTTTAACACACATATACACCTGTACGGGAAAAAAGTGATTTTCTTCACACATATACACCTGTTCGAGAGCAAAGTTACCTTCTACACACATATACATCTGTACGGGAGAAATGTTACCTTCTACACACATACACACATATACGAGAGAAAAGTTATCTTCTACACACATACACACATGTACGGGATAAAAGTAACCTTCAACACATATATACACCTGTACGGGAAAAAAGTTACCTTCTAAACACATATACACCTGTACGGAAGAAAATATACCTTCCACACAAATACACACATGTACGAGAGAAAGGTTATCTGCTACACACATATTAACCTGTATGGGAGAAAAGATACCTTCTACACACATTTACTCCTGTACGGGAGAAAAGTTATCCTCTACACACATACACACATGTACTGGAGAAAAAAGTTACCGTCTACACACATTCACACTTGCACGGGAGAAAAGTTACCTTCTACACACATACACACTTACACGGGAGAAACGTTACCTTCTACACACATATACACCTGTACGGGAGAAACGTTACCTGCTACACACAAATACACCTGTACGAGAGCAAAGTTACCTTCTACATACATATACACCTGTACGAGAGAAAAGATACCTTCTACAC